GATCGTCTAGCCACTATCCTAAACGTGTCAACTCGGCTGCGTAGATGGGTCGACACATCTATGGAAAGCAAAATGCTTCCTCCCCGTCGACAAACTGCGCCCTCGTTTTCTACCGAATGTTGTCGCATACCCGCTTCAACAACTGGCAGAGAATGGGTTTGGCGCCGTGGCACACTCATACTGGTTGACACGCCCCTTCATCCGCAGCTAACTAGAGTATAAACGAAATCATCTATAACACTTATGCAGCACCAACGCGAAACTGCAGTATACGCGGTTGTACAGGACTTTGAACATGAATCTGAACTCGATTCCAAAGCTCCATCAACACCCTTGGATCGGCACCCTAGATCCCATCACCATTCATGTTCTGGTTGAACAGGTATTGAACAGAAGTGGTAGATCGCAACAGCCATTATTTTACTGATTGATAGATATGAACAAAAAAAGTTGTAAATGGCTAAGCTAAGTGTGAAGCTTGGTGCAGCACTTTCATGCCACCCTAATAGAGAACGGGTCATTGTCAAAGCAAAGCAATAGCTGAAAGAGTTGACAGAGGTTATCCAACTGTCCTACCTTGTTGAACGCTCATTTGATGTTCTAAGATTGCAGCTTTGTTGAATTTGTCACGCATCTCGCGCACTTCATCTGACGCCATCTCTTCGCTCGTCATAACGGCAAACTTCTCTGGTTTCACTACTCCAGTCAACACGTTCTCCCTTAAATAACAGCATAAATAACTCATTAAGCGAGATTAAAATCATCAAATCAGAAAATCTCTTCAAAATACGTAAAAAAATATAATAAATAGAAACCAAGAAAATCCAAAAACAGAGGTCCAAAACCTAAACAGAAATATTTAGCGTTCACGTTAAAGTTTGCCGTCAAATTCAAGGTCAAACATGTTCCGCTAAACGAAGTCTGAACGAGCGTTTTTCACGTTCTTAATGACAAAATATATACCATTTTCACTTTAAATCGGACACTTTTCAAACCAAATCGGACACTTTTCAAACCAAATCGGACACTTTTCAAACCAAATCGGACACTTTTCAAACCAAATCGGACACTTTTCAAATCAAATCGGACACACCCCTTACAATTAGGTGGTTGATAACTAGACCACACTAGGTACTGTTGCAAGCCCCGCCCCATTATCCCCGCCCACTTCTCAGCGCGGACAGGGTTTTCCGAGATGCTTCATGAAATCTGCTCCCTCGACTTTTTTTCGTTTTTGCCCTTTGCACACACACTTCAACTGAAAAAGATTGATACCTATACAGACTCCGCCCACTTAACAATGAAGTTACGTAAGTTCTGAATTTTTATAACTTTTTTCGACGTAGTTCTTTTCACATCCAATCTTCACAAAACGAATAACCATGCACAGCACACCAGGCCCCTGTTTATCGCGGAATTTTGGTTTTTCTTCCGGATTTTCGCTTTTTTAGGCTTTAGCGATTGGCTCCGCCCACCAATGGAAGCTCCGCCCACTTTGGGGAAGCCCCGCCCACTTTTCGAAAATGATGCAAATCGGCGGGCTAGTGTCCGTACTGGCGGATTACGGCCTCTCCCGGCACATAGAATAAAAAAAAGGGAAAAACCGGAAAAAAAGGGAAACTTTGTTCTGAGCGACGGGAGAGGCCGTAATCCGCCAGTACGGACACTAGCCCGCCGATTTGCATCATTTTCGAAAAGTGGGCGGGGCTTCCCAAAGTGGGCGGAGCTTCCATTGGTGGGCGGAGCTTCCATTGGTGGGCGGAGCCAATCGCTAAAGCCTAAAAAAGCGAAAATCCGGAAGAAAAACCAAAATTCCGCGATAAACACAAGTGGGGCCTGGTGTGCTGTGCATGGTTATTCGTTTTGTGAAGATTGGATGTGAAAAGAACTACGTCGAAAAAAGTTATAAAAATTCAGAACTTACGTAACTTCATTGTTAAGTGGGCGGAGTCTGTATAGGTATCAATCTTTTTCAGTTGAAGTGTGTGTGCAAAGGGCAAAAACGAAAAAAGTCGAGGGAGCAGATTTCATGAAGCATCTCGGAAAACCCTGTCCGCGCTGAGAAGTGGGCGGGGATAATGGGGCGGGGCTTGCAACAGTACCTAGTGTGGTCTAGTTATCAACCTTTTCACTCACAAAGATGTTTTTTGAATTTCTTTTGCAGGCTGGCTTTAGGCAAATTGTGAGTGAGCCCACCCACTCTGGGAACATTCTTGACGTGATTTTTATTTCCAGGCCCATAGTGGATGGTGTTAGAGTCCTTCCCCCCCTTGCCACGTCTGATCACTCTATGCTTTCATTTTCGGTGGATGCTTCCCTCCCTCCCTCGCACGTGCCTCTACCCAAACCTGACTTTCTCCGGACGGATTACACAGCCTTAGGTCGCAGCCTTAGTGAAGTTGATTGGGTACGGGTTTTTGATGGCTATACTTCTGCGTCTGATTTATATCGCAGGTTCTGCTCCGTTGTTTACAGGAGCTTATCTTCAACTGTTCCTTTTCGTTATCCACGATCATCCTGGGTCACGTTCCCCACTCACATTAAGAATTTAATGTCCCAGAAGCAACGTCTTTTTGAGTGTTCATCAAATCCACTATGCAATCGACTCTATAAAAAAGTATGTCTTGACCTAAACCGTCACCTGAAAAAGTTTCGGGCATCCAGGGAGGGGCAATTAGCATCTCGGTCATTGAAGCATCTTTTTCTCTATGTCAATAACAAGATCAAGTCTAATTCACGCTTGCCGTCTATTGTTGATGGAAATGGTTGCTTTTGCCACAGTGATGGTAGTAAAGCGGTCGCTTTGGGTGATTATTTTGCTACCTCCTTCTCAAGTCAGAGTAGTTCTTATACAGGGCTACACTGCAGTGAGCTTGATTTCCATTACACATGTGATAACATCTATTTTCATCCTTCCGATGTTTATGAGCTGCTCAAACACCTCAAACCCTCGACTTCTGAACCCTATGATGGAATCCCACCAATTGTCTTCCGTAAGTGCGCCTCATCGTTATCTGGACCTTTGGCGCACATTTTCAACGTATCCTTCATGATGGCTGAGGTTCCTGAGCTTTGGAAAGAAGCATTGGTCACCGCTATTCCAAAGGTCTTGCACGCTCAGTCTGTCGGTGATTTCAGACCTATTAGTCTCACTTCTACACCAGCCAAAGTAATGGAGAAGATTATACGAGGAAAACTGTTGTCCTGGTGTCGCAGATTCAGAATCATTCCACCGGAACAACATGGGTTCCTTCCCGGGGCTAGTACGACAACCAACCTTGTCGAGAGTGTATTTGACTGGTGTCTAGCCTTGAATCAAGGTAAATGCATTGACGTCATTTACATTGATTTATCTAAGGCCTTTGACAGAGTCAATCACCAGAAGTTACTACGAATTCTTGATAGGCTTGGGATACGTGGCGGTCTGTGGAGGTGGTTGGAGTCTTACTTATGTTCCCGTCATATGACAGTCAGGGTTGGCTCGGGTTTCTCCAATAGGCACCTCTGCACCAGTGGTGTGCCACAGGGCGGAGTCCTCTCCCCGCTTTTATTCCTTTTGTACACTATTGAGCTGCCCAAGGTCGTCAATACCTCAGTAAATGTTAAAGTGCAGGTCTATGCTGATGATGTTAAGCTGTATGGTATCTATGATGACAAAAATCCGTGATGATGTTTGTGCAGCTCTTAAGCAATCTGTTGAGAAGCTCAACCACTGGGCGGCAAGTCTCGATCTGGCAGTGAATTTAAATAAGTGTTGTGTGCTCCATATTGGTAGTGGAGCCGCTATGACATATGAAGTGAATGGGGTCCCCCTGAAATGTTGTGAGACTGTTACGGATTTGGGGGTGATCATCGACTCCAGCCTCAAATTTTCTGCCCAGGTTGATCGTGTGATCAGTAAGGCTTATGCTTCGCTATTCACTATTTTCCGTAATGTCCGAAGTAGCAGACCTGATATTCTTATAAGGCTTTACAAAGCCTACGTATTGCCGCATTTGGAATATAGCTCGCAAGGTGTGGAGCCCGCTACGTAAGAAAGACATTCTGAAAAATTGAAAAAGTGCAGCATGTGGCCACCAGATTAATTTTTCTCCGGGTGAATAGAGGTGTCCATAGGCGAAACATTCCTTGCTATGATGAACGTTTGAAGCTTTTCGGTTTAGACAGCCTCCAATATCGGAGACTGGTTTCGGAATTAGTTCTCGGGTTTCGTATTTTACGTGGAGAAACGAAGTTAAGCCCGAGTCGGTTTTGGATTTTTAGACCCAGTAGTGTGAGGGGGAATGGATTCAGTTTGCACTACCCCAACATTCAGAGTAAGAACTCTTCATTACTATTCAACTTCTTCCTCTGTCGAGTTGCAAGGTGGTTCCAGGCACTTCCTAGCAACGTAATGAAGTCTGAAAGTAGTAGAATTTTCAAGTCTAAGCTTAAAGAAATCGATTTGCTTCGTGTATTAGGAGTGGACGTTCATCAATAATTATTTTCAGGACAGTTTGTGCGCGGTGTTTATTACAGTGTTCTCACTAGTGACTTCTACTTGAGAGATGGGATACTTCCCGTGTGCTTTTCATGTGATGTTGGTACGTCGTGGTGTGCTTCTGCCGTGGTGTGGTTTCCTAGGTAGTGCCGTGACCTTGAGTTCGTACAGTGGCATCTGTTTCTGGAGGAGCATCAATTTTTTCTTTTCTTCCGTTGACTCTCTATCTGGCCTACAGCCCATATGTGGTATTGCGTTCTTCATTCGGATTTGATTGTTATGATTTTGGTGGAGCATTCGAAGCTCACTTCGAGTGGACACTTGGATTTTTGCTGGCTCATGGCATCTGTTATTGTTTTTCTACGTGACATGCTCGTGGTAATTTTTTTCCCTCGGGTATCCATGTTAGGGTTTACGGGAAGTATCTGTAATGTGTTTTCCTAGCCTCCCTTCTTATGTTTTGTGAGTTGCTCGTTGAGTAGCGGCACTTGATGCTTTGCTCCCTGTGTCTTTTGTCAGTTTGTGTTGACCTGTTCTGCGAACCGACTATCATTTTCAACGGACTGATCCACCTCGGGCAGAGCTGTCTTGGTTTTCTACATTCACTCCAGCTTGCTGATTCCACGTGGGCAGCCGGTATACCCGTGTTTCGGAGTTTCAGCAAGTCCCTATGACCCCATTGTTGGTGAAGGGCATCTTAGCCGGCTGATGCGGGTCCTTGCAGAAGACTATGACGGCTCTTAGGTGGTATGTCCTGTGGGGTTATCTCTGTGGTTCTTTCTTAAGGGTGCTCCTGCTCAGCGTGCCACTCATTCAACCGATTTCCTTTCAGTTCCTCAAATTTGGTTGAGTTGATTTGATTTTTTTTCCTTAGTTCTTATACTTGCCTAGTGCTCTGCTGATTTCATATTATAAGTGTTTTGGCGTGTCCTATATGGATGCATTAAATAAATAAATAAATAAATAAATAAACCTCATTGTAAGGGGTGTGTCCGATTTGGTTTGAAAAGTGTCCGATTTGGTTTGAAAAGTGTCCGATTTAAAGTGAAAATGGTATATATTTGCCTTCATGGATCCTGTTCCTAGCTATGTGAGTAGCATGCCATTTTCTCCGCTGAAAACGAGGAACGGGAACGAGGCCGAAGGGTAGTGATACTCCCGTGCCAACTCCATACTCTACCTGGCGCACACGCTTAATCGTAGCCAAACGCATTACCTGTCTGCGCGCTCTCACTTCTGTTTGTTCTCCAACGTTGAGTATGTGTTTCGCTGCGGGACCGCGGTATCTGCGCATGTGGTGCACCTTGAAGATAGCGCGAGTTAATGGAGCCGGCACCCGGATATCACCACCCTCCATCCTTCCCGCACCTCTTGTGGAGAAAATGGCACGCTGCTACAAACCCGTTACCTCGCAGCGGGAAATACCGTCCTTGGAGGTGAGTGTACAGTTTGTATTCGAAACTTTTTCACTTAAACTCACTGATCAAGAACTAGGTTTTGCGGAAAGCAGCAGCTCTGATTTAGCAGTAAGTAACAGCAAATAAAGAAGACACCACAACAATATCATCAAACTGACCTGAGTGCTGGATTCTTCTTGTCTCTCAGATTGAACACACGACTGCGGAGAGCGGCTTTGTATTTGTCTCCAGTACCCTTGTGCACCTGAAGAACTTGAAAATTACCTGAGTAAGAAGCGAGCTTCTTTAGCGTGATAGGTACTCATGTAACTGCTTGGAAATTCAAAAAGCACAGAAGCAGATGCCGGGTGAGACTGTACTACACGTTTCTCAAACCGCCGATAGCGCCATCGAAGCTAACCAAGAGCACCATCGAAATAAAAGGAACTGGAGTAAATACGGACGGAGAACAACCACAAGATGTGATGAAATGACGCACAGAACCCGAACCTGCAAACCCTAACTTCGTCGCTAATGCGTTCTCCCATTGCGAAGATACTATGTAGTCTGTGTTCGGTTCTCTCGGTGTGTGGTCCCATTGGCCTACCGCGTCGACAGGCTGACCGCTTCCCCGACCTGACCACCATGAGTAAAATATCGGCCGGCTCAACATACAATGAAAGCCGTCGAAGTATAAGCAAGTATGCCAATAAAACTAGATACGGTCCTCATCACTGCGGAAGGCGGCGTGAGCAGCGCGGTTCGAGTCCGCGTTCGGCTCCCTTGCTCTACCAATGGCGATCGGGTAGAATCGATTTAGGAAGGAAACAACCAATGATGGAAACGCCGCTTGGGAACCGCTGACTGCAACCCAACAACTGCGGTGACATTGAGTGTACCAGCTTTGTTAACAAAATGTATGAAGCAGAACCACTGCTACACTGCTGTACCGTGGTTGACGATCAGGCACACTATCCGAAAGCCACGAAAGCAGCTTGATATGATGTCGGTGAAGGACTAATGGTAAAGGAACTGCGAGTTCTTTTTTTCGGAAACTGGATTCATCAGAATGGCGGGAAAGTTCCATCATATTTTCTGAAATTAAGATTTACTTACAGTAGGATGAATAGGATCACAAAACTACAGCCTCGTTTCGGGATTTCGGGATTCTTGCCAGTTTGAGCACCTTATCGATGCAATCGTTCCATAATGCTGGCTGGCGCGACGCAAAGTTGGACATAATCTCAATTTTGACTTGCGCTGGGGTCGTGAGGCTTTTCCCGTCCAGGTAATGGGTTACTTCGGGATATAACAAGTAGTTCGAAGGGGAATTCCTGGGATACGCTGGTGCAAAGGGAGAGCCATCCAGCTCTACTGCATGAAGTTCGGCTCAACCTTTTTTCGAAGTGCGGGCTGCACTGAACTGAGCCGCAGCTCCCCTAAACTGAAACCACATGAAAATCCATACCTCACTTCGTCTTCAAAAGTGCAGGATCTCCTACTGAAGCATCGGCGTCGTGAAAGATGCCCGATAATTGGGAGCACCATCCTTATGCGGGTCCTTCATTTTAGGCTCAGGTGCTCTCATACTTTAGCCACGGTGGTAATGTTTGAGGGAGTGGTTCATACGTAAGTGCTATACGGCCGCAATTTTTGCCTATACTGCAGAAGTAGTAGGAGAAAGTAAGTGGTACTAATAGGAATTGCCTTCGGTATACCCTGATCATATCATCGATCCAACTTTTTAGATTATGGGTATTTTAAGTTGAAAAAATACGACACAACTTTCTCGCAAATCTAATAATTCAAGTCAGTTCGAGTGTATGGGAGATTTTACGACATCACGACTAAAAAATCATGTTTCAACAAGTACACTTACGGTGAACAACTTCTCCTCCACTTTGACAGCGATCTCCTCAGGATCGAGAGTACCGACTGGAAGCTCTGCGTATCTGAGAGCATTCAAAATCATCTGCGCTGATTTCAACCTAACCTGAAATTATTATAAAGCTCGTATAAGAATCACCCAAAGGGAAGGAAAGATAAGAACAAAACAACCCTAATAATAGAAGAAAATACATGGACTAGGTGGCACTCTGTGGAGTAGCTAGGACGTGTCTGTTTATTTCTAACATGGCGGCGATCGTGCTTTCGATTAAACGTTGCTGTTTTGAGACAACTGTAACCAGGTCTTCGTCCCACGGAGGAGAGGACGACAGTTCTCTTCAATGAAATATCACAGAGAGAACATACCTAACGAATTCAACAAAGCCATGCTTTCCTCACATGTCGAAGATACGTCTGAAGCCTGAAGTCTTCGCCGTTGATCAATCCTTTTTGGGACGCGGCACGCATTCTACTTCCATTCAGAATCGTAGTGGCTTATTGAATGCGATGTGGCCTATACAATGACTTGCGGGGCCAGCCGATGTACAAGTCAGTGTTTTATCCTCCCAGACGAATCTGGTACCAATTTACCGTCCCCGGAGGGTAGAAAGCATGCTTGGCTTGAGTGACAGCCAATCCCTCGGACCGCGCGTGGCAAGCGTGCCACTTGCCACTACATCACCAATGGTTTTAGATCCGAATACAAGGAGGCATTAGGTGCATCAGTGAAAGAGGGACCCGGAAAATTTAGAATATTGAATCGAAAGAGGCTAACAATATACAAGCACTGAAGGCGGACCTAATTCTTAGTGGGACTAAAAGCAAATACAAGTGATTTTACACCAGCGGACACTGCTAGGTGTTTCGTTTTGATGTGGTTTGTCTATAGGGCACATTCAGTGAGTCCCATGAAGAAATCACTTAAATCTATGCAGCACGATCACCTACAACGAAGAGCTGTAATAGCTGAAAGTCCCTTATGTCTCCGCTCACCATTCGATACGACGAGCAGGTTATAGACATGTAACACGCCACACGGCCAGCTACACCTCCATCCATAGCCGTGCGCTACTTGCCTGCGCTTTCCACGTTTGACTGGGCGCTGCTGTTCTCTATAGCTCGACTTCGGCATCATGTAATACACATGTTCGTATCATCACAAGCTGCGGGGCAAGTCACTGCGTGCGCATGGCGTTTCAAAACATCCAGTGGATGCATACATGAAGAAGATCCTGCTATCACTGCACTCTAGTTTTATTTGCTCGCACAGGGATTTATGCAATAACATTAAAAAATGCAAAAAAAAAACCCGAAGAGGGACTCACCTCGTCATTCTCCAAATGCTTAGGAGGAAAATTGGACGAATGATATTGGCTTGGGACTGGAGCAGGTGATTGAGACGCAGGTGGGGTAACTCTCGAAGCTTGTTGGTTCGAAACTGTGCCATTGTTTTTAGTTGAGCTCGATGACGATGGCTCGTTTTTAGGTGCCTTGAATAATGATGTTGAAAATTAGAAAACTTTGTAAAACTGTTGCAGGAAAATGAAATCTGCTGTTAAGTAATTTGCAAATGTAACCTTTTCTTTCTTGTCTTCGCGTTTGTCCCACTAAATTTTTCCACTCTTTGATGAGATTTTTTGCTTTCTTCGCCAGCTTTTCATCTGACGTTTTCTTGCGCAAATCGTTGATAGTCATTCCAATTCGAGTTTTCTGAAACCCATCGAGAAATGAAGAATTCTGACCAAGAACGGAAAAAACCTGTAGTTGCATGCTTGTTAAAATACTGCTTAATTGTCCAACTAACCGTTAGGACATCAATGGTGATTGGAAGTTTCGACAGAACTTCGAGAAGATCAGCTGCATTGTCTCCCTACAATATGTTTGTAAACGTTCGCCTTCGCTCAGCACAACAAAACGCCGACATATGCGCTGTATGAATAGCTTCTAGACACTGAACATCGAGAGTTCCCTATAGAGTTTCGAAAAAAGTACGAGCTACAGAATTGAGTGAAATTTGGTACATTACGATCACCATATGGCGGCTCTAAAAAATATTTGAGATATGGTAGAGAATGGTAATCTCTTTATCACAAGAGTGTTGAGTTATGGGCAAAAGTCAGACCTCGGACGGGACTCCAGCCCGCATCTCTCGCTTACCGGGAGGTTGCGTTGTCCATTACGCTATAAGGGCCGCCATTATCCTCTCAGCTCTATGGCTTTTTTGGGCCAGCCTTCCAGCACACATACTGATAGGGTACCAGCGGCCCCGGTAGCATAATGGATAACGCAACCGCCCCGTAAGCGTTAGGTGCGGTTTAGAGTTCCGTCCGAGGTCTGACTTTTGCCCATAACTCAGCATTCTTGTGATAACTTTCGGAGCGCACACTGCGACGTTAAACAGCAATTATTGAACCGGAAATCTTTTTGCTTTATTGACATTATTCACACATAAGGACGGACCCTTGAAACCTTGAAGCGTTTATTGTTTATAAGGTTTTCCAAACAAATTTGAAGCTCATTTTGCCACAGACCATTCACAGGTTATAAGTTCTGACCTATATGGATCCCGTCATTAGGTACATATAAAAAGCGAAAAATAACGGCGCAAATCCACCAATTCGGCAAAGTCTTCAAAGGATTGTGAGCGAAGATGTGAAAGCTTGTCTAGACTTGGGGAGTCTCCGCCCTCAACCAGTGAGCAGGGTCCATACTTGTTCAAGTAGTCTGGTCGTCACCAGCATTATCCCACTTCCGCGGCTTCACAGTAACTCAAGAAAGCGCTGCGACCCTCATAAGGGGCGATTTGACGCCTCCCTTATTATCCAGCGCACCGGAGCTCGAAGGCTATTTTCTATTTATTTTTCTGCTCATTTTTTACATCGTGATTTTTTTTGTTTTTTCACTGTCAGATGGTATTAGCAGTAAGATGACGCGAAGAAACGATAGTTAGCCATGGACAGCAGGATATCCCTTCGCTGGCATGAAACGCGAAGGTCCCTGAAACTCGTCTAGGCTGCGAGGTCCTTGCTTAGGGTGTTCTGCATGATTTTTTTCTTTCTTATTCCCTGGAGTCACTCAGTGACTAACGGTTTGTAATCGAACGCCATTATCCATAATACTCAACCGTGGGGTTAGTCTTCAAGCGGGCTAGTGCCTCCAGATCTAATAAAAGGAATAAACCCACTCTAGCAAGCTAGCAAGCTATAGGGGCCTTAGCTGGAGAACGTAGTAAAAGTAAACCTGTCGTTCGGAAAAATGGCCATCTGTCAAACATATTCCCGGTTATTACTCTTCTGCAGCATTAGATGAATCCACAATTCAATTATTTGTGCAGGCCGATTTCGCAGCCTTCAAAGGGTGTTTGGAGTATAAAAGCTGGTACGCCAATGTTCTATGTCGCCCATTCAGTTCATAATAGTTCTGTCATTAAAAAGCATCATGTGGACCAGTCACTATATAACAAGGCATAAACTAGTTTCTTTTTCAAGTCTAGAAGAGAAAAGAAGAGAAAGATTCTCAAAACACCTAGAAACATAATGACGAGTAACAACGTCATGCTCCTATTTGCAGGAACCACAGGCTTTTTTGAGATTTTCATCTTTGGCAAATATATTGACAACGCTGCCAACAAACTTCAAACGGAGCATTGTGGTACTTCACTAGTAATATTCTATCGGAAGTTGCATGCAAATTCTTTTGAGTGAGCAATGGTCGCCTGGTATCTGTTATTTACAAAGCGAAATAATTTCAAGCCATAAGAGGACCGCACATAACGTCTCATTTTGTCATGAAAAACAAGCAAAAGACGACTCACTGGCTTTGTACCATCGATGATCTTGTCCAGCTTTCTTCCAATCGCCAGCACTTCGTCTTCGCAACTGGGCATAATGACAGACTCGTGACGAATGAATTAACGAAACACTGAATCAAATGAACCATTCTGCCTATGACACTCGCCAAATACTACGTGAAAGCACACATTTCAAAAAAGAAAAAGGAGAGGGAACCGCGAACGAACGAAGCCGTCCCGCTGCACACGCGAAACTCGTCCGCGTCTCCGCCCACCAGAACTCGTCCACTTTCGCCTATTTTTGAACACGTGGTGTGGAGTAACTTTGATATGGACAAACTTTAGCGTTTTCGCGGACTTATAGAGTTCCAAAGATGCTGGCTAAGCCAGATTATCGAATAGATCGCTCTCAGGGATCTCACTGAAACATGCCTTCCGTTTGTGAGGTTCAACCCCTTACTGTTGAGTCGGGGCAGATCTGGCGGTTGTCGTAAGCAGTGTGCAGGGAGGTTGAAAAACGAAAGTGTATGTGCTAGCTGACTTGCAGCTCGAGAAAATAGAGAAATCGCCCTAAATAAGACCTTCCTGTTGCAGGTGATTTCAAGCGAGAGTAACATCTCACACGGATATGTACTTCGAGTGATCCTCACCCCTGCCCCTCTCTCCACACTCTTGGCTCGAGTAGCGCAAAAGATTCAACTCGCAATTTATATTTGCAGGTCTTGTGATCTTTACGGTATCAAATGCCAATGATGATGAAGCGAGTCCACCGAGCGATCAGTATTCAAAACTCAAGCTAAAATAAATTATTCAAGCGGTCGGTAAAAGTCATCCACTTCATCCACTTCCTCCATTTGGACGTATCCCAAACGCAGATTCGTTATCGGGTCTACACTACAACAAGATAAAAAACGTGTGGGTACCCGTACGAGTGTCCATGGTCGTAACAACTGCGGGACCATTCTACACGTCCTTTAAACGTGTCTATCATGCCTGATTCGGTCTAATGGTAAGGACTACAAAAACTTAATTTCTCAATTTTCTGTTTTTCTCAGCACTTTCTCGTCTGTATGGCATTCTACGGTCATTGTGATCACCAGCCTCTCACACCACACATGAAAAGTGGCTCGCCCACTTTGGAGCCGCCTCCCATTGAGTAAAGCCCACTCACTAGGTCGCCACATGGTTTTTGCACGTCGATACAGTTGGCAGCCGCTGTAAGGTCTCGCGAGATGAAGGAAAAACTTGTCACATAACCCCTGGATTGCGTGCTCCTGTCAAGAAACCAGTGCAGATAATCAAGGACAGGCACTGCCAGAGCATCGGGAGGTGTTAAATAGCCTGCGGCAAACTGGGAATGACCTTTTCGAAGGGGAGGACTGCGGGATGGGTGAGCAATTCATCATGCATGAAAAGTGTGTGAGAGCGCAGTGGTCGTAAAGCGATATGGACATATTCAAAGGGGCATATTCATTGTTTATACCCGAGAGTAGGGCAATTAATAAGTTCACCCCTCATCCTCCACTGCACTCCTTTACTTCAGTAACGCCGGAGCAGTCGGTAGCAAGTCCGTTGGAACTTTATGCCACACTCCTGCAACTAACGAGAGAGTAAGTGCAGGTGAAGGTCCGCGGCTACCATCATGAAGTCAAAGATGGTCGGCGCATCGAACAAGCTCTGCGTGGCGCCCTTCCTCACCCTGCCCCCCATAGTGCCCTATCAAGCTGCAACATCGCAACCAGGACGTTCACCGCGCTCGCCCGTCCCACAAACGTCCGACCGGTACTGGTGCTCATATCGCTTCGTTGGCGAAGTACAAAATGAATGAAGGGAAGCGGCTGCGATGTTGTATGGGTATATGGGTTCACACATGTAATACCATAGCGGTTACCCTCACGACGCCATCGGGAAACTCGTCTGAAATTGCTTTCTGAAAGGTTTTGAACAGGGCTTTTCTTCGCAGGTTTTTGATTGTTTCACTCTGTTTTTTCACCATTTTCCCACTGCATAGCACCCCTGCTACCATTTCAGACCGAGTGTCAGATTATCTTTCTTTACACCTTTAAGAAGAGCTAATGAGCCAAGAACGGAACGCTTCAAACAGACGACCACGCAGCCGAACTTCACAGCTCCTTGTCTGTCCCCCTCCCCTCCCTCCTGCCTACTCCACAACCGCCCCAATTTTAGGCGCAAACGTAGATGGGGAAGGGTGGACCACCAGGCCGCACCTCCGTATCCCTTTCCTAGATAAGCTTGGGCTCACAGCGCCGACGACTGCAGTCGCGGATAGTCCCGCAGAGATGACATGGTCTCCACTAAACCTGAGCCTTGATGGAGAAAGAGTTACGAAGGCGCAGATGAAAGATCCTCCCAACTACGTTAGCATCTTCAATTCCCCTGTGAACCCTGGACTACAATGCATATCTGAAAAGTTGCGAGGGCGTGGTCGCATACTTCAATTGGACGCATTTGGGGACTGCCTTTTGGGAGAATGTTACCGCCTTCAAAAACTGCAATGATGTCTTTGTTCAGCAGAAGACAGGATGATAGCTCCCCCAAACGGAAATCTCCCACTATTAACGCCATGTTCAAGTGATGAGCGCAGCCACGCCCTCTCCACTCCGAGATACACTTTATATGTACTGACATCGGGACAGCGTGCTCAATGCAGACGCTTTCAATGGCTGTACATTCGATTCTATAGAGACTACGACTGGCACTACCAGCGCAAAATAGAAAAAAAAATCGAACGTTCAATGAGTGAGTTGTCATGGAAGAACCATACGGTATGGGTTCGGACGTCCTTTGAAATTTCCCTTCCTGAGTTCATTGTTTGGACATGAAATAGCTGTCGTTTTTACTCAGGTACTTCCACGTTGTATGGCACGCAATTGCTCCCATGGGGCAGCCAATTATGTACTAGTGCGCCCGAATCTATTTCGTCGTCAAGGGTGGCGCTCGGCTAGCGAGATTTACGCGCTCCAATCACGCGCCTTAAAATCATAGTCCACCCCCGCACATAGGTAGCAAATTTTATATCGCTTTCTTTTTCTCTTTTCTGAGGACCTGCCAAAAGTTCAGAAACTTCTGGATGTCATGAGGTCTATCAATCGATTAGTTTAGAAGTGTGTTCCTATCTTTTCACGTGTAACTTGCAGTCCTGTTGTCATTTTATCAGAATTCATACCATGGGAACCAGGGGTTGTGGCTTGAACCATTATGGTAACTTTTAGCAAGGTTTTGAGGTAGAAATAGGAATGAGCATTGCCGGGGTTCAGCTTGGTGGGGGCATTTCCCTCCTTTCCATCGATCACTGATGATGCTCCCGTTTGGATCTGTAAAGTTCTGTAAAGCTATGCAATAGTATGAGCTTCGTTCACACTTGACAGGAGTCTACAGGTCTTACCAAGGCGATTGAGTGTAAATTAGCAGGAAATAGCACAATTGCAAAAGCCCCCCCCCCCTCCCCCGAGTCGCGCTTGGGAATTTTAGCATCTCACACTTGGCTGAATTTGTATGAATTACCCTTTGTTCAGTAATATTTGCTTAGCTATAGGGGTAAAAGATTGTTGCACGCTAGTATGGTCTGGTTGGCTGCGTATGATGGGGGTGTCCGCTCTGCTGCGTTTGGCACGCCGCCAATCCATTCTCCACCAGTTCCTTAATCGGGTAAGTGACAACATCTGGTAAAAGCGACTGATAGGAACGACATAGCACAGTCTCGTCGCTTGTCGGGGGAAGGGGAAAAAAGCGTATTGGCGTCGCGCCAAACCAACCGCGCGGACACGCCCAATAATCCGCAGCGAACCAGACAATAGTGGTTCCCACGGTGAGAGTTGTTCCAAAATTGGGACATGGGTCAAGATTTAGTAAGTTGTACGGATTCTTACTTAATTTGCGCTTGTTATTATCGTTAAAAGAGGGCTCTGTTGTTGTTCCTTTCAGATGGCGTCTGGTGAGGACAGGAATTTAAAGTTCAAGAGGTCTGAGGAACTTTGAGTTGAATGTTGTGAAACGTTTTTGACCTTTTTGACCACTCAGTAGTCCGGTCACTCGCCTTCCTTCTCTCCACCCCCCCCCCTCCCCCAATTTAAAGTTCCTTCGAAGCCCACTAGCTATTATAGAACCTCCGTTTTCCTCTCGCTTTGTTTCCTTGAAGACTTCTGGCGCTGTTTTGGGTTTCGTCGTATTTGAGTGATCGTGGCTGGAGGGCTCAAGTCGCTTCTATTCAGCAAACAATGACGTTTTGAGAGCGGAAGAGTGCGAGTGTGGCGGCCCCAGATTATTATTAGTTGCGTTGAATCCTCTTCCTAATCTCCAAGATGTCTCTTGAGCTCTTCTAACGCCCCTCGCACGTCCGCTATTGTTCATTTTGAGAGCTCCGCGCCCGAAACACCGATTTTCCTCGAAATTCGTTCTAATTCCACGAGAAATGTGCGGTCTTCCGAATATTTTCGAAAATTCCAACTTTCAGGGAAGTCATAAATTTCAAGGCTTATAAGTATGTTGAGAGTGCGGGCTGTGACTCGACGTCCGAGAATCACTTTTGTGAATTAACTGACCTAGTTTCGTGAAGTTTCAATGTTTTCAAAATTTGAATTTTGCGCTCGAAAACTTTTGAACTCGACTTTATGCTTACATCTCAACTTTGACAAGTGTATGGGCGGACAAATGAATGATGCAGCGGGGGCTAATGCCGTTTGGACTCCAGAATTTCGGCACCGAGCTCATTTTTAAATTGCCTAAGTCACCAAATCCGCTAAAAACTTGTATATAGGGGTAGTTTAACATCCTGATTACGAATATGACATTCACTCTTGCCGCTGGCGCTAATGGATGACACTACGATTACTGCGCTCCGCTAAGGCTGAGCCCAAGAGGTAATCGTAGTGTCATCCCTTGGCGCCAGCGCCAAGAATGAGTGTCATAATTGTAATCACGATGGTAAATAACCCTTGTGTACATGTTTTCAGCGGGTTTGGTGACTTAGGCAATTTAAAAATGAGCTCGGTGCCGAAATTGCTGGAGTCCAAACGGCATCAGCCTGCAGCGGGCAGCACACAGTTTACGACTCTCGTGCAGTTCGAGAGAATCAC